TTTGTATTTGAACAGTACATAAGTCGGCATTTCTTAAAGAAAGGCGAACAGTCTTTCTTTACTTTCGGAAAGAAAGGCAGAAAGGATTCTTAGATTATTGAAAAACAGTAAATAAACGAGAGAATTAACCGAAATTGTTATTTGTTGTGTTTGAAATAAACTGTTACGATACAATTTGTTGTCCCTTCACTAGAGAAGGATGGTCCTTCGAGGTTATTTTTTCATCGTCGGCACAGTAAGTACAAATACCTACGAAACTCGAACGATCGAAGGATCATCCAGGTGTTATAGCAACTTTATCGCGTGAGAATATTCATCGGGTAGAAACGGAATACACACTCAGTTCATATTAAAATCGTATATAGAATAAATCTATCGAAAGCAAAGAACTATACGTGATTCGTCAAACGTGAATTTCGAGTTATCCGAATGTTGATATTTTTATCGAAAGCAGCGGCCAGCTTTCGTGAGCCTATCATGCGGTGCCGCGAGAGCGAAGAGGGGCGTGGAACAAAACCTGTTCAATTAACATTTTCATACCGCCGCGACTCGAAAGAGAATTAGCGATGACAGTGCACACGGCTTATTCCGTGATACGAGAATATTATTTATTGTCTTGCGAGAATATAATCGGTGGCGTGTTCATCGGAGACCTATAAATTTATTTGTGTTTGGATTGGATGATGGGATATATAAAAACTATAATGGAATACTCATTGAATACATACCGGTAAGTATGAATTTAAAATAAGAATTGTAACTCGTTTCGATAATAAAACAGTTAGATATGGATTAATCGATTATTAAGTACCTACAGGAATGAACGATTCTCGAGAGAAGTTAATGTACGACTGTAGATATACCTGGTATACAAATTGAATGAATTAATTTCAAATCGGAATTCATTGAATTCTTTCCTCAAGGCATATGACGAAAAGAAAATAATTTCAAGTTCCTGTTAACGTGACTGGAATTCATTCCGAGGAATTAGTTGCTACCAGAACTCTCAGTTCTTGCCAAGATTTATTTTACTTCCATGATTAAATAAATAATCTGCTTCACGGAAAGTGGAGCAGCTGTCTCTTTTGACATTGAAACTTCGTACACAAGGGTATCGATAAATAAAGGAATTGGTTAAACGAATAATCCCGCGTTAATCGTAATTTGAAATCGATTCTTCTTCATTATGCTTTTCGAGTTTTTTTTTTAGAATTGGTTTAATCTACCCTATACATATCCTAGGTGCCAAGCACGAGATTTTATTATCATGTTAACAATCACGGTGATTTTTGACGTCGGAACAACTCTTTGCTCTCACCGACAAAATGGAGAACACTTCTGGAACGTATATTTTTGCGTCGTCCCAATATACCAAGCAGTAAATTCCATCGAAGAATCGATTAGAATGCATAACGAAGCGTATCTCGTTTAGTGTAATAACAACCCTTAAACATTGTGATGGAAGATTAGGCTTCCGTAGAAAGTCGATAGACTGCTGGAATGGTTTATCGGGAATCGGAGAACCGTCGCGTATTTTTCAGTAGTAACGCATCGTAATGGCGGTCACGACGACGTAGTATTTCATCGACGAACAGTTTTCGTCAGGGCTCATTTGCATATTCATTAATACCGCGCTACCTGTCCTACATTTAACGGGAGTCGAGGTATGCGATCGGGTCGAATTTTAGTGAATGAATTGGCGCTTGTTCTTGTCTGATACGACACGTCGATTATTCCTTTCGACGTGTCATCGATGTCAGCATAATTAAACACCTTGAGACGGTATATATGTATCTTTATGAGCTTCTAAAAATCGATTCTTTTTTATTGCTTATATAACCGTATATAAGATGAAAAATATTCTGTGAAAATTTTATCAGAAAATGACGAAAATTGATGAAGTTAGAGTTAAAAATGTGAAAGCGTGCACGGCAAACAATCGGCAATAATTTTAACCTGCACAGTCTCCGTTTATATGATTTTTTAACCACTTAAACCAATCTATAGAGCAATATCCAGGATTTGTTGAAAAGGTGCCTAGGGGGTGTCACAAAAAAAAAGTAATGAAATCCCAAATGCGAATATCTGGAAAATCGCCTCAAAAGAGAATTCAGTAGTCTCCATATCGTCGAAATTACAAGTTGAATCGCTGCAAGTACATTGAGCGACGCACAATTCGAATTATCAAACTTAATTAAATACAAAAACAACTTTGTTTTCACGTCGACGTGAAAGATCATTGGTTCAAATTTTCTAACAATTACCCTTGGAACCTGTTTTTATCAGCGACTGCGAGGTAAACATTCAATGAGTATATTGACTTAATAGATTGAAGAAAATTGTTTTTAACTCTAATTTTTGCTATCGTTCGTACGTTCTTATTCGAACGCCAATTTCTCGAGCATGAAATTGCAATGTGCGTAACAGGGACGAGGAATCGAAACGGTGTAATTTTCATGCATACTTGACAGGAGTGCGAAAGACGTTTATGCGGCTGGTAATTAGTACCTTTCATAATCACTCATGCTAAATACTACATCGAGGTTTCTGAACACGGCTCTAATGATACAATCTATCAACGAATCTCACCTTATCTTTTCTGGGTTATTTTTTATACTTTAAGTTAAAATACTCTCTATATATATAACAATCTTAAGTATGTATAAATCTTCAAGATGCTTTGTGGTATTTTTATATCAATAGACAATATTGCCAAATATCTTTAGTACAGATAGCAAGGAATTGAATCTTTATTGTATAAAACACGGTACACGTTTATAGAACATTTGTAAACGACCAAAGAGATTATGTAAAACGTCTGACTATAACCACAATTGATAAGACACAAGTGCAAATCTTAGAAACTGTTACGTCAACGAAACGTTGCGTACATATCAAATATTGTATATTGACAGTGGTGTATCATCATCAAGGTTTCGCGTATAAAATCATCGACAGACCTCGATGATTGAAGAATTCGAGATAGAAGGATTTATAGGTCAATTGAACTTGTGAGTGCATAAAATTTAAATTATTATAACAATTCAGATACAATTAGAATATCGATTATTCCGTCTGGGCGTAGGAAATAAATCGACGAATTGAAACTTTCCGCAGAAACAGTCGAATCATTATCTTATCGTTCTAGTTTCCCGAAGAAGAACGCAACTGCGTGCGCGAAAGCAGATGTCCGGACAAGTATTAATTATATGATCGATCAGTCATAAGCTAATGAATGGTCGAATAGCAATGTGGTGGCACGTTTCGTATCGCAACGCTCGAAGATAAATCGATGACGCGATCCGCGCGGAAATTGATTTGCATTTTCCGAGCCATTTAAGATAAACAACGTTTGATTAAGAAATGATTCGGTGTCTAGTGAAATTTGAAAGATGCGGCTGTTACAACGCGATTCGTTTCAGCCAAGTGAGGCAAATTGATAATCACAGCGAGCTTAATGACCGGCTCGCGTTGCTGCGTGTCATTTGAAACGTGCATGAGGACAATGCGTCGTGTGAACCAATAACTTTGTGTGGTAATATCCACGGGATTATCTTTCAATTGTGTAAAAGAAAATGTTTCTGTAAAATTCTTAACTTGAATGAAAATTTTTAGTCTATTACCATGTCGAGGTATAAGAGGTGTACTAATAAGTAGTCCACTATTTTTGGACGAAATCGGTATTTGTTTCTATAGAAGTCACCGATCTGGACTGTTTAATTCGTATTCACAGTGATTTTGTTACACAACAATAGATCGAGAAGATACAATTAATTTAAAATATAGCACTACACAATTTCGAAAATAGTGGATTACTTATTGGTACACTTAATAAATTTTCTGGTGTTAAGAAGCTTATCTGTCATGTTTCAACGCTAAATATTAAACAGACACCTCTATACGTATAAACAATATATACACGTCTTTTTTCTAAAATGATAATATTTACTGGAAATTTGTAAACGTACGTCGTCAAATACAGTTCTATGGAAGAGGAAGAACCGATTCTTATAAGGAGTCGTACATTTTTTTAATCGGTTATCGCGTGTTGTACGACTGTCACTGAAAATAAACATTACTATCTGACACGCTATATTGCAATGTACAGAGTGATTCAGAAGCATCGTTCTAGAAGTCAGAATAAACAAATATCCGTGTGAACCAACACCGACACAAGGAATCCCTTCTTCGTTTTGAATCAACAGAGTCCACGCACTTTCGATACAACAGCTTTTCCCGGAACACCCTGTACATCGTAACGAGCAATCCGAAAACTAAATAAACCCGAGAACCGAGCGTCGTTCACGATGAAGGAAAGTGTCCATCGGCGTGACTGCGCGCACAAGTTGACGGTCATCGGTTGCAGATGCACGTTGCATTCCATCGACGCAACCTCAACAAGATTACCCGCGAGCATCTATTAAATCGAAGTGGATAAACTCACTCTAGTTTCCTGGGGCGTACACGTTCCCGCTCCCAGACGTCCAACCACGATTCTCCTTATATTTCACACAAAAAAAAAACAAGGAACAAAACCAAACGTGCAACAATACACCATAAACTGCAACATTCACCGAATACCTGTAATAAAATTTATTGAATGAGAAAAAAGTTTCTCAACGAGAATCAAACAAAAACTGCACATCAGAATAGATTTCACCGAAGATCGAACAAAAACTACACATCGAAACAGATTTCAATGATAATCGAATAAAACTGTACAAATCGGAACAGATTTCAACGAAAATCGAATAAACCTGTACGAATCATAACAGATCTCGACAAGAATCGAACAAGATCTGTACGAACCTGAACAGATTTCAACGAAAATCGACCAAGGAAACTGTACAAATCGGAACAGATATTTCAACGAAAATCGAAACGAAAGCTGTACAAAGCAATGTCGTCGTCGCTAAAATAACAGGTATACAGGGAACGTCAAAAGGCCGCCAATCGCGGTGAACTCGCGAGAAAGATTGAATCGCAAACAAGGAACGAACCTCTCGACGCGTATCGGTCCGTGGCCGGTTCCAAAAATAAAAATTCGCGCGCGCAGTGCCGGTAGCGGAGCGGAGCAGGTGGAGGCTTCTAAGACGCGCGTCAAAGCAGGACTGCCCCAGTTCCATCGTATTACCGCTATTATATTCCGCGGGCAGCATCCCGTGCGTACGTGCGTCCGTCACGTCCGTGTACGCATGAGCTCTCTGAGGCTCGTACGCCGCCGCGAATCTGCAGTCGACGGCCACCAACGCGAAACGCTGTGTGCGCCGAAAAAGGGAGCAGGATATGTATCGGGCGCGATTAATCATAAATTTGGACGTTGCGTCATGTTGCGCCGGCCGAGGAAGCGCAGTCGAAGCACGAATTATGACGTCGGGTTTCTTCGGTGGTTCAGACGACGGACCGTTGCACAGCATGTTTTTTCATTAATTTATAGCGGTGACAGTTGCAATGACATTAGACGGATGGGGGTAAGGAGAGTCGAGCTACGTTCACTGAACAAACTGTTATCGGTGAACGATATTTGAAGAATATTTTATTAAGAAAATAGTAGAGACAAGAACATATGTAGAAATTTCTTTTTTTTTTTCTTAACCCTTTAACGTCCAGACCCTTAAATAGTTATATTTGAAAATTATGCAACTAATATATATATATGTATATTGCATCTTGTTATTTTCAAGACGAAGATATTAATATTAAAGTAACCTGTGTTAAAATTAATTTCTTTCAACGCCCAGACACTTGTTTCAGGGAAAAATAATATTTCTCGCGATTGGTTAACTCAAAAGTGGTCCCAATACGTGCACGTCAAATGTATTTTTACGATAAAACCTCTGAAATATGATTCTCTAGATGTGATGTATAGGTCACACTGGGTGTTAAAGGGTTAAGCATTTTGTTGAATTAACCCTCAGAGATCACACTCCACCTCAGCATATGTAACACCATACTAGAGCGAATGGGATTTTTAATTTTTGATTAACAAGGACTTGGAGAGAAAGAAAGCAATTTGTACTCATAACATATTTTTTTAGGGTAAAAGTTCCTCAGAAGTTCAATGGTAATAATTGCAAAAGTGAGAAATAGATTTTTATCGTAATGAAAGGAAAACGTTATGCTAGCCAGATAGAATGTTATAAATTAAATATAAGATTCTAATTAATTGCAGACACAGTAACACCACAGAAATTCTGGAAACGTGTCGCGGTGAGCTTCTTTTAATTATACATAATAAGGTTGGTTGTTATATTTAACGGTGAAAGTGAGAGCATGGTCACACCATGAATCTCAACTTTCCTTTCGTGTCTTAAAAGAATTTCTTTCCCGAAGAACGTTAATACATATCAGAGAATGAAATGAATGGTCTTCGTTATTTCATTGTCAATAAAGAAAGCGTGTAATAGCTTCATTATTTTGGTATACAAATAATTAAATTACCAAGAGATTCTGAATTTTAACGATTATCGGCAGAGATACGAATTTCAATTAATTAAATGCTAATATCCATATCAGGTTCGACACTGCCAAGAATGAGAGATAAAGTTTCGTAAACATTATTCCCGTAATTTATCTTCAGTCTTAGATAATATTCCTTCTCATGCAATGAATTCCAAGAACAATAGCAAGGTAAAAGATGGTAATGGCCGTCATTTAAGCAACAATTGTAATAAAATCAAAATACGAGATCAAATATGTTATTGCAAATTACTGTACACAAACTTAAAATATAAAACTATTAACAGACTAACAAAATAATCACTTTGAGATTAATTCCTTGTGTAAAATTATCAATTAAACAAAAACTGCTTTTGACCGCTATTGTCCAGACTGCTGGGTAATACTGGTCACGTAACGGACAATCGCATTCTAGGACCTCAAACATCTTTCATATGTATAACCATCGGCTGAGTGCCATCTACTGCATTCTCAATGAGCCCATAGAATGTTACGGAACGTAAACAACAACACTTGCACGCATTACGCATTTTCGTTTTGTTATAATAATACCGACCCCCATTACTATCCACACGACAGCTATCAAACAGATCAAGAACCATAAAAACGTTACCAAATATACAATTTTAAATGCTATATACGAAATTTAAATTCCATTTCCAACCATTTGACTGCATCCAGACAGGGCCCGGTCCTTATACATCTGACAGTAGGAACAGACGCAGGGACAAGTCCTTTAATTACGCGGACGCATATCCACGCGATTATTCGATTAATCATGAATTCGGACGTGACATCGTGTACCTCATTACCATGCACGGAAAGTGTAACGACTGTGGTCATCTCACGTGCTTATTCCGAACAGTTACGAACGACATATCGATGACGGCCGAATCGCGACCTCGAATTTACGATGAAAAAGAAATCAAGGGGACCTGGCACGATCACAAACTGTTCACCACCGATGATTCTTTCACAATTCTATGAGTTTGCATAACAGCCCTTACGCGATCCTGCTATTATTAATCGTGCACCCATCACGCTGCAATCCCAACGGATGTCTCTGTAATACAACGTCTGCTTGGCCACTCAGCCCGACCGTGGATCAAATCGCGGCGTAGCCAGAGGCCACTCCACGGATCGTTTTACTTGAAAGTAATTAAGCAGATTTCCTCGATTTATACAACACGCTGACCCGCCACTCGAACGTTCTATCCAGCCGATTGTTATTTCTGTTACTTACGGTTTCTGTTTCCTTTGCTTCGTGCTTTCCTTTACTGGATTTCGATCACGAATTCATAAGAATTTCATCTAGTACTGATCTACATTGTTTTACAGCCACGGTTAAAATTAATTCAGAATTTATATTCATGTCTAGTTGTGTTTACTGAGAAATTTTACCTTTCGTGAACTGTTCGATACATTCTTGCGTTATTATTCGGTGAATGAAACTTGGTTTAGGATAAAATCGAACGAAGGAGATATACACTGTAAGAAAAACAATATTCCATAGACCGATGACTTTTTTCTTCAAATGATAATACGGGTTTTAGCGTAATAATTGGTTAAAAAGGATTTCCCGTCGCCTTGATCTAATATACTTGGAAGTAAATCATTGTGAACCGAATATTAAGGTGAAAATATTAAAAAATTTCTCCAACTGTACTTACATATCGCTTAATCATTACACATGTAAACTGCTAATGTCAAATTAAGTTACAAGTCTTTCTGTTAAATAATATCATTGAAGGGAATCCCTCGGAACGAAAAAGGGGATAAAGCAGCGAAAGAAACGAACCATCTTACTTGCACTCAAACTCTCACTACGAAAACTTTCTAAACTATGTCAAAAGGAAAACATGATGGTGTGGGACAATTCTTCACCTTTACACATTGAAAACCTCACGGATAACTCTATTCTGGCAAATAAAGTCATTAACAATTTACCAAGAAGGGAACAAGTAGCTATAAACAGACTAAAAAACAGCCATACATAAATAACCCACTCACACAGACTATCCAAGGATCCGGCACTCATTTGTATTGACTGCAGTTCTGATATTACAGTAGACCACTAGCTACTATGTCATGCTAAATACAGAACGCATCGCGACCGCTATAAGATCAACTTTGGCAAAAATAAACTATTCTAACCTTGTCGAGTTCTTAAATGAATCCAAACAACCATAAATAAATGTTGCTAATAACCGAGCAGTCGATGTGACAATAATACCTAAAATAACAAAAAAAGCAGTTGAAGTTTGAATTTGGTTAAAATTGATCCGAACAGTGCACAAGGGTTGAATAGATTTACAAGAAGTGCAGTTAGTTGAACATTTCTAACACACCGACAACGTACCATGTTGTAGATATTCTGGGTTACATATGTTTCTACGATTCCGCGATGCGATTAAGTTGTAAGACGGGTTTCAAACTCTCTTGCGTACACGAAGAAAATGAAGTGTGACTAATAGCGACTCGTGTCCTGTTGTGTCTAGCCGGGTAATTACGTAAATCGACGAATCAAGAACAGAAACGTTCTAGCCATCGTCCAAGTTAAGCCTAACGGCGACGTACGACGACTTTGTTGTACATACAACCGTTCCGTGATTTTTCAATGGGATCGATTGAAGGAAAACTAGACTATAGAAACGTGTACGTGTTCGTTCGGGCCGTTGACTGCGCGTGCCGTATCGTGGGTTTATGATATCAATGCGTCAATCGCTATTGGGGACGTAGAAACAGGACGCTATAAGTCTATGTTATCATTGTTATATTATAAAACTTCCTGACGGTAAATTAACGTTCAACATATTTACTCCTACTTTACCTGTAAATTCGAGTCGATTGAGACTGAATGGATATAGACACCCAGAAACGTTTAAACAAATTCTCATATTTGTACTATAAACTTTATGACAACATAAACTAATTAGAAATTTACTTTCTCCGTCCAGTCGTTTCTCTCTGAATAGAAAGTATATAATAAACATTCTAATTCATTTTAATGAGCTCTGTTCGTGACCTTACATATGATTCAGAATAAGTAATGTCAGGCATTATCTCCGCCAGCAGAACCGCCATTATAATGTCTGGTCTCGTAAAACAATCAGAAATTTTTCGACGACACACGAAACACGACACGACACACCGTTTCATTATGATAATTTCGGGAATTAAGGTAATCGTTCGGTGGAGAAAGCCGTCGCGATAAAAGGATCCATCCAGTTAGCGGTTCGCCTCATGAATGCGTATCTATATTTACGGTGTGACTCAACGGTAAATAACGATGGAACTGGTGCGATACTGGTGGTCGACAATTTGCCCGTTCATCAAATCACTTGTTAATACGCACCGTGTCGGGCCCGATAACGATCCGCCAGTCTTCATTTACCGGTCGGAATAAAAACGTAATCGGTTTTATTAAGTGGCAGTCGTGTGTCGCGCGCTGGTCCCGCATTAATTCTAAAGGATTCATGAGTGCGCGCGCGCTAGCTCGTCTTCAACAATGGGATTGGAAACTGTTTTCGTTGGCGGTAATAACATATGATTCATCCCGTCGATTGAGACGAATCGCATTGAACGGCGATTGTGTGGATGATTTCGCGGAAAAAAACAAATACACGAGGGATGAAAACAGTTTGCATACGTTATCGTTTGTAACAGGATGTGCACTGTTGTTTTTGAGATCTGTGTGTAACAGAAAGCAGAAGAATCTGTAAGATACACTTTGTTTAACTCGCTCGCTGCATCTTTTTGGTATCTTGTACGAAAATTTGTTCTTTCACAGAATTAAATAGCAATAGACTTTCTAAGACTACTTAAGACATTTTTTCAAATATTTTCTTTTATATAAGCAATGTGTTTGTTCACTGATAATAACAAACAGTAACACCGTTTTTTCTAATTTTTGAATGTCATTTAAAGAAGTTTCGTACTGCCGACCGTCAAGATATATTCCAAATATTGTTACTAAAATGATTCAATATACGTCCATTGTAGTAGA